CAGAACGCAATGTACAGCATTCGTGATTCTTTTTGTTGGGTGAATGGCATATACAGCGTTCTAAAGCTTCGATCTTCTGAAAAAAATTTCCATCACAATCCAAAATTCACAGTTATCCAGATTACTTACTAGTGATGCTAAAGTCCCTAATGTTACATATTTGCAGGAACATATTAGAAGGTAACCAGATCTGCTATGGTTTTAGAAAGATAAAGCTTGCAATATACAAAATGATAACTCAGAAATGTAACTTTCTACATTTAAAAAAAATTGGGGGGGAGGTTGGTTAAATGTGTAGCTTCCACATTATTTCTCCACTCTGACCAATTAGTTGAGTTGAGTGTTTGAATATTCTCTATTACATATTATAATCACATCAGAAGCACTACATATTTCTCACCCCCAATGAAATAATTCAAAATAATATTATATATCACTGTTAACAATGTAATTGACACCAATAAGTTAATAAGTATTCTGATCTGCGAATGAAAAAGGTCAAATGCACAATGAAGATGGCTGTCAGATTTCTGGTTGGATTTAAAAATGGTAAGTGTAAAATTTGACTTGACTTGGTCTGTGTCACAGGTTTAAGTTATCCTGAACTGATGCCTTTTGATAACCTGATGGTGATATTATTATTATTATGTATTAAATTTGTATACCGCCTTCATCCATAGAACTTAGGGTGGTTCACAGCATAAAAATAAAAACACAAATACATAATTAAACAAGAACAAGAAGGGGGGACGCATAACCTCCCCCAAACACATTTAAAAGGACACAGAGTGTTAATTAGTCAAAGGCCTGGTTGAAGAGAAACCTTTTCTCTTGGCACCTAAAGATATATAATGAAGGCACCAGCCAAACATCCCTGGTGAGAGTATTCCACAAATGGGGAGCTATTGCAGAAAAGGCCCGTTCTCATGTTACCGCGCTCTGGACCTCTTGTGGAGGAGGCAAACGAAAATCGGCCTCCAATGATGATTGTAGAGTCCAGATTATGGGGAAAGGCAGTTCCTGAGGTACTGATACCCTCCAGCATTTTTCCGATGAAAATAGGGACGTCTCATTCTATAATGAAAATTTTACGATTTATGCCCTACACATCTTACTGGGTTGACCCAGCAACTCTGGGCAGCTTCCAACATATATAAAAACATAATAAAACATTAAACTTTTTTTAAAAAAACCTCTATACAGGATTGCCTTCAGACAGCTTGGGGAGTGGATAACTCCATACCCTCCAACATTTCTCCAATAAAAATAGAGACATCCTAAGGAAAAGTGGGACATTCCAGGATCATATCAGAAACCGGGACAGCTTCTCTAAATCAGGGACATCAATGGAAAATAGAGACACTTGGGAGGTCTGGTATTGCAGTCCTGAACTGTTTTGCGCTTTAGAGGTCAAAGCCAGCACTTTGAATAGGGCCTGCAAACTAACTGGCAGCCAGTTCAGTCAGGCCAGGATCAGTGTAATAGGCTCAAACCGTCTTGCCCCAGTGAGCAACCTGGCACTCAACTATACAGCTGCAAATAAAATGTTTTACGTGTGTTTTAAATGCAATACACAATGTGACACTAGATGGCAATGGTGAGCCTTGTGGAAAATTCAATGTATTTTTAAAAACACTTTTTTTTCTTTTTCCCCCCTGAATGTTTTTTAAATGTGTGTAGATTCCACCCAGGTTGCCAAACTCTGCACCCTGAGCAGTAATCTGAAAGCCTCAGGCTTTTTGTTTTTTTAAAAAAACACAGTTGTGTTTCCCTTCGATCGGATCACATTCTGCAGCATGCACAATCTTTCTAGAAATGGAGTGCTGACATTTCACAGCGGTAATTTCTCCTTAATGGAATGGCTTTAAATATAATGTGTTGGTATCTCACTGCTTCTTCTCTCGGTTCCATTTCTTTAAAAAAAACAAAAACCGGGTATGCCTACACTCAGTAGGAACATGACAGCCGTGGCAAGTGCTATCCAGTCCTCAAGTGCGCATAATTGCTCGCTGATGCTTAGTGGCTTTTAAGTAAAGGTAGAAGGTGTCATTTACTGGCATTATCTTCCATTTCACTGCCAATGGGGAGCACAAGGATGATTTCAGAGGTAAACCTTCCCCTGCAGAAGGAAAGTAATAATTAATGACAGAGCTTCATGCAAAGGAGCACCAGGAATCACAATGGGCTTTAACAAACAATTGATGTGGGAAGAAAGGGCATTTTATTCTCCACTGCCAGACAGTGGTTTTATCCCTTTTAAGACAGAGCAGCAGGGTTCTTCTTAGAATTACACATTTAACATTTTGAGGATGCTGTGGGTTACCAGGGGACCTGATGTTGCAAAAGAGTTGAAAGATATTATTTGTCTTACTTACAGAGGTTGGGGGCGGGGATTCTACTGAATCCTTAGCCAACTTTATTCAGTGCAGGAATAGTCAGCCTTGGTGATTTAAAGCAGCTAAAAATAAACGCATTGAGTAAAACTAAAGGTCCTTTCCCCCTTGCGTGCTGGCTTGCATTTCCTGTTTCCAGTTATAGGTTTGAAAACTGAGCAGGTTAAATGGATGTTTGTGACACATTGAGTCTTTAAATAGAGTTTAAATGGTTCTGGGACCCTGGTTTCGCTGCAGGTCTATGACTTACATTGAATAATGTGCATTCTGTTGTCCGACTTTATGTCTATGCTTCAAGAAATCCTAGTGCAATGTCTGTGTATCCACAGCAAATATGATTGAAGCACAAAGTGTGGAAGATGCTATTCTCACCAGACTCTGATCTTCTGCTCTGTTTAGCAGTGCAACATTTGAATCTTCAGGTCAATGGTGCCTTTGATGGATACCCTCATGAATCCTAAATATGCCAGTGCGTTCATGGTTGTATTTGAACATGCGATGTGTTCTCGTCTGTGAAAGCTTATACCACGTGAACATTGTTAATGTGACACAGAACTCTTTCTTGGCTTTGCCACAACAAAGTCTATTTGTGGAGGGGACGCAGGGCCACATGCACCAGCCCAAATCCCTCCAGTCCCAAAACCTCCAGTGATAAGCAGGAAGGTCTGAAGGGTGACTTACAACCCTCTCCATGACTGGAAACACTGTGTGGTCAAGCATCTCATAGATGTTCAGCCAAACATGCTTTCAGCCTCTTTTTAGACCTTTCTGCGCACGTGAGAGAGGTGGAGGGGGCAGGGGAAGTGCATGTGAGCCGTCCATGGATAGAGTTTAAGAATGGCTGAAGAGAACTAGATACTTTTATCCCTCTGTGATTTATTCCCATAGAGTTAGTGTCAGTGAGTGTCAGGAGTCCAGGTTCCCAGCTTGATAACACAGTAAGCGTAGCTAATTAAAAAGGTGGATTTATTTAAAAAACAACTAGATAGCTCTGGACGGCTCTAACAAAGCCACCGGCACCATTACTCAAGATGACCCTTCTGAAGACTCCTGGCGTCGACAAAAGATATTGCACTTACAAACCTTATGTCTCTTGTTTTGCTTCCTATCTAGTAGCCCTCCCATTCGCCGACTCTTTGGACTTAGTGGATCTGCTCCTACCTCTTCCTTTTCTGAGAGGCTGTCTCTGAGTTCATTCGCACCTTTTTGTGCTTCTGGCTAGTTTTGACTGTGTTCTAGCCTGCTCTCAGCTATTGCCTTAACAGCCTGCCCGTCAAGGTCAGGAAGAGCTGAAGTCTGCAGCTGCTGGCTTCCCCTGCCTGAGTAACATCAAAGCCTCTCTGTTCCTGGCTGCTTTCTGCAGTTGGCTGCAAACCTTCGCTTGGAGCTGGCTCATTCCTGACAGTGAGGATGTTCTTTACTCTTTGTAAGTAAGGCCAGTTGGAGCCAGATCAGAGGAGACTATAGATGGTGCAGGATGTGTGTAGTCACTCCGTGATGGTGCCAAACAATGGTGTGGATAGGAGTGATTCAGGGTGATTTTACCCTACCCAAGATGCACCAAGTTGGATCAGAGCCCCCAGAAGCATCATGTTGATCTGCTTCTGTACTCTCATCTGTTCTGTGCATTCTTTACTTAAAGCAACTTGGAAACAGGTTGGAATTATATTTTTAAGCACGTATACACAACAAATCTTGGGACTAAGGCACACCCCATGCATGTGGTTTCTGCAGTGGGATTCGGTGAGTGCTGGAGCTACAGGAGTGGGCAAACCCAGGAACACCTGCACCAGTCAAAAGTTTCTAGGAACAATCCAGGTGTCTCATTCTTTTATAAACTGTATTAACATCTCCAGATTGTTGTGGGAGTTAAAAATCCACTTGGCTGCTCAGCTTCGTATATACTCAAATGGAATCACGGTGCTACCCTGAGCATTGAGTGACTATAAAGTAGAGTGAAGCCTACTAAAACAAAAGGCATTGCTTAAGAAGTTGTCGCACATTGCAGAATGGCAGCAGAACTCTCCTGCTATGTCGCCACACTTCAGTGAACCCAATTTTTCCCCAATTAATTCTTGAAGCGTGGGAGTTTTGCTGCTTAGCAGAGGCTCCTTGGATAGCTCAGCCAGCTCGTGTTTCATACTATCATTCATTTCCCTTTTTAAAAAAAGGAGTGCTGAATGAAGGTTACATTTTAACTATCTACGGACTTCTGGATCCTGGGTATGGAAAATGGGTCCTGCTGGTTCAGAACAAGTGTCCACTTAGCTGCTGATGTGTTATATTAAATGAGCGTACAATTTGTGTGCCTGTATATACCTAAATAGTATCTGTGTACCCAATAGTTGAGCTGTACGACATTTTGTACCTGTGTTCAATCTACTATGTGAATGAGTCTCATTTGATCTAACATCATCCTTTAAACCGTGACCAGAAATACACAAGTTAGAAAAGGGGCATTCTTCCAGGCTTTGTTCCCCAGAAACTGGTATTCAGAATACTTTTCTTTGGCCACCCTATACCTACTTCTGATAAATTTCAGATTCAGGTAGGTAGCCGTATTGGTCTGACACAGTCGAAATATGGGAAAAAAATTGTCCAGTAGCACCTTAGAGACCAACTAAGTTTGTTCTTGGTATAAGCTTCCATGTATCTGAAGAAGTGTGCATGCACACGAAAGCTTATACCAAGAACAAACTTAGTTGGTCTCTAAGGTGCCACTGGACAATTTTTTAAAATTTTTGATAAATTTCAGTGTGTGGTCCTAAGTTCTATTATTGTGAGAGAGAAAGGAAGATTTGTATTTTCCAACTTTTTTGATATTTCTATAAACCTCTTTCATTTCTTCCCTACCCTGCTTAATCATCTTTTTTTCTAAACTAAAAAGCTCCAAGTATTTTAGGTAGTCTTTCCTCACAAGGAAAGCACTCCAACTCACCTGGTCTCTTCTCTAGTATGAAATTTGCCTTTTCTCTGCTGCTGCTGCTGCTGCTGCTGCTGCTGCTGCTGCTGCTGCTCCTGCTGCTGCTATATGCAGAGTTGACATTTTTACTGAGAAGTCCACTGATATTTTTTTCTGGCAAATGACAGACAAATCATTTATGAAGAAGTTAAAATAGCACCAGTCCCAAGCTGTTGAGTGGAGCACAAATATGACACCTGTGCTGAGAAAACTGCTGATCAGCTACAAAACTATGTTCAAGGTCTTGTTGATGAAGGGAGGGGATTTATATTGCTGGTGTGTGTGCTGCTCTGGGATCCTTAGGGAGGAATCAATCAGTCAGTCAATCGTTTTATTTGTATGCCGCCTTCCCAAAGTTAAAAACATGCTCAAGACCACTTTCAACATGTAAACAATTCCGTAATTACAAACATAAGAAAAAGTAGTCATAAACAATAAAAATACATCAAAAAGTATACAACCAGATTGAACAATTTCCACATAAATCATAACAAAATCTCAAACACACACAAAAAATACTATCTGAACAACCGCACCCTACAGAATATCATAGGCTGGTATCCCCAAAATGGGCATTTTCTGCTGTTGCCACTGTACTGTGGAATGATCCCCGCCGCCGCCGCCATACGTGGAAAAGCAACCATCAATTGCTTCAGACATCTTATAAAGATTTATCTTAGTTAGACAGGCTTTCCATAAGATTGGACTCTGACTTATGTGTATGAATCCACTCACTATGTTTCATTTGCTATAATGTGCTTTTGAATGGTTTTATACTGCTTTCTGGTTTTTTGCTACAGTGGATACTGGTTTTATATTGCACATAGTCTACACAGAGTAGAGACCAGCTTAAGTGTTGCTTGAAAGTAACCATTATTGACAACAAAAATAATGCTATATGCCATAAAATAGAGGTACCATAGAGTGGTATAACAAAATTTGAGATGAAACTATGATGGCGAAGTTAACATATTTTATCAGATGTGGGAAACAAAATCAAAGGCAATATCATTTTTGTCAGGATGGAACCACACACACACACACTGTAATATTATAGAAGACATGGACTTTTTCCTAGTAATTGTTATGGTGTTGCAAATTTAATTTTGGTTTAATTTTGCTTCTTTGTTGGGCTTTCTCCTTTTGAAGCATGTATTGGGGCACATGTCAATAACAACAACCAAGAAAAACAATACAAACAAATAAAAAAGGAAGAAAAACAGCACTGGCACATAACAAAACCATGAAGCAAAATATACCCTTTCATTGCTCCTAGTTACAGGCAGAAATGGGTTCTTGGGTCCTTGAGAATTAAATTATAAAGTTCAGCCCCACGTTAGAAAGAGGAGATCAAGAAGGATGATAAGCACATGCATTTTTTAAAGGTTATATTTTACATCAGGATTTTATAATGGCGACCCTGCAGAAGCCTTGCTAAGTTAACCTCTGCTCAAATCGTTATGATTTGGTGATAAAAGAGAAATCTTAATTCTATATTCCGCCTAACCTTAGAATTCACCTTATAAAATGCATTCCTTATGAACCTCCATTTCAACTTCAGTAATATCCTTTTCAGTGAAATCATCATCTTTAAAGGGAATAAATTAATTAACAGCATCTCTTTCCCTTATTTGGTCATCAATTAAATCTGAGAGATATGCTATCCACGGAAATGTCTGCTCAAGCAGTATGGAAATGGAGGAGAAGATGCTGCCTTGATTAGTGGGTCAGATCAGGGAATGGATGGTCCCTATGGACACAAGAACCCCAGGCATGCAGGTCTGTTGCTAGGCAACCATATTGATCCTCTCCAGCATCTTCTCAGACAGTCTCATCTGCTCTTGAACACCACCATTTACAGCAAGGCAGCAGTTAAATACTTGGCTTTAATATTTATGAAGTAAACATTTAACTGTTTGAGACTGAATGCAGAATGCAATTTGCTATTCTCTTTCTTTCTTTTATACATTAATAGGCTATCTTAGTAGGTTTCCTTGTTGGGTTCCCACTGCCAGGGGGCAGAATGTATCTCTCTGAATCACTGATCATCTGGTTTGGTCTTGAAGCCCTCTGAAGAGAGACTGAGGAGTGGTAGGTCAAAACCTCAATCACATCTGTCATTGCGTGGACAGGCGGAGACCCCCCCCCCTCAAGCCCCAGGCGACCCCCGGGAGGAATAATGACACCTGACAACATGCTGTGGGGATTAAAATTGGCCACAACTTTATTAAATTCTCAGATGTAGGAAGACCTTGGCTTAGGCATTGGGCGTTTATCCCTCCCAGTCCCCAGCCGAGGATCTGGGGAACATTAGGGTTATCTAAAGTGGGTGGGGATTGGACTGACTCTGGAGAACATCTTTTCAAGCAGAGAGCCCGTATCTCTCTGAATCATTGAGGATGGAGGAGAGAGGAAAACATCCAGTTGCATAAGGAGAAGTCATTCTGCACCCACATTTATTTAATTGAATCCCACCCTATGTCTATTTTTCCTCTTTTATTTCATTTTTTAAATAAAATAAACATTATAATTGTTTCATCGGCAAGGAATTCTAATTATGTGTTGCTCCAGTTATGAGTACAATTTTTTAAAAAAATCATTTCTATGACTTTGAAACATATACCATTGTGGCAAAAATGCTTGCGTTCATTGCGATTAATTTTTAATGCATGCTCTTCTTTACACTAGGAAGCGAGTGCAAGAGAAATGTCTTCTTGCTCAATCTGGTTTTCAGATATAGTTGCTTGTTTCAATCGAAACTAAATTACACTTAATTCTTGTTGAAATCTATGGGGTTCAGAATATAGTCCTGCACATGTGTACTGAGAGGGAGATCCCATTGAGTTTAGTGGAACTGAATTCTAGGCAAATGGGGACAGGATTGCAGTCCTTTCACATCGATTTCAATGGGATCTAACAGTGTGAACAGTGAATCCAGCCCACCAATGTGGGTTGAAATCCAGCAATGTTTTTACCCCTAATGCTCATTGTTCCTCATAGATTTTGCAGAGGGAGAGGAAGTTTAAATTTCACCACCCCTTGGCTGCAGTGCAGATGATGACATACCCTGACAACACACACAGAGACTGGGTATTTAATTTTGAAAAACGAAAGATATGGTTGCCATTTATGTTGTTAGCATCATGTGTAGTTAGGCTTCAAGATGCTTTTTTTTTTCATTCCCTGAGAACTTAATGGTCAACCCCTTTGAAGGTCATAAGGTCAGTGCTTTTTTTGTTTTAAAAAATGTTTAGAGGTACTCTTGTTTACCTACTCATACTGGAATACTGCCCCTCAATGAAGCCAAACTTAGATTCACAAAATGTTTAGGGGTACGCGTACCCCTGCACCCCCCCAGAAAAATCACTGCATAGGCTTATTTTTACACTAGAAGCAATGCCCCTAATTTACTTGGTACATTTCAGTCAATATGATACAGATTTTCACAATGATTTCATCCTTTCTATTCATTACAGCTTATTGATCAATTTTCTATTTAGTAACATGTCAGGATGTCTTCTTTTAAAATATTTAAATCTAGCACTTGGGACCCCATCACAAAATACTGGTCTGGACTTTTTATTCTTATTAATATGGTTGTGAAGAATATGTTGTTGTTTTTTCCCCCCACTTTATGAATAGCAATGGTGTCATAATACTTTTTTTTTATTTCTGTTTCACCCGACATTAATGATCTTTGTTGAAGCTGCTCCTGCTAAATTGCTTCCAGCTCTCAGACCAGCATTATCACAATTGCACAGTGATGACATGATAATTTTATACCCCACACCATTAAGTCGGTTGGAAATAAATTACAGCCATCAGCCATGATAAAACAGAGTCAAATGCATTAACAGCATCAGAGTCTCTCATTACGATGGTACTATAAATGCACACTGCCACTTCAGTCACACAAAACATTTGTTATCCACTTCCACATGGTGTAGATTGATGTCTTTACAGAGGAAATGGATCTGGACTATGAAATCATACAGGGCATTTCCCAAAGCACCCATGGCCAGCCCTATCATTAGATGGAGTGAGGCAACGGCCTCTGGCAGCAGATGCTTGGGAAGGCATAGAAGTGTTGGAGGAGGGAGCTATGTGTGCTTCTGAAACCTGCTCTGCCCCCTGTAAAGCCTCAGGGGTAGTGGAGGGTGCTGACCTGTCCCCAGTGTGGAAACAAGGTTCAACTACAGAAGGTCAGAATCATGCTTAGGCCTTGGTGTTTTTTACCACAGAAGCTTTTGATCTCTGGCATTTCCAGGTAGGGCTAGGAGAGAGCCCTGTCCAAAATCCTGGAGTGCCATGACAGTCAGTGTATAATATTGAGCTAGGTAGACCAAGGGACTGATTTCGTATATGGCACTGGTATTCAACTGGTGGGTCAGCACCCACTACTGGGCTATGGCCTGGTCTAAAATGGGTAAAGGTGGAGCACTATCACCATATAAAAATTCTGAGAAGAGAAGAGAAGAGAAGAGAAGAGAAGAGAAGAAGAGAAGAGATGCATGATTGGGTCAAAAAGGAGTCACAAATCTCAAAAAGTTGAAGACTGCTGGTATAAAGTCAATTTCTATGTCCCGAACTGCCCACTTGGCAGGTTATTGTATGTGGAATGGGAAGAGGAAGGCACCAGCTTGTCTCAGGCTGAAAAATGCCTGAGCCAGCTCTGACCCTGCACTAGGTTTTGTGTGATTTTACTATACAGTGGTGCCTCGCAAGACGAAATTAATTCGTTCCGCAAGTCTCT